AAACGAATGGTTCATTTCAACACGAGAGGAGAACCTGATAATACCTTACCCTATGGATTCACTCAAGCCGAAAATGAGACGGAGGTGGTTAAAATTAAGAGTCGAGAATTATTATCTACCAGCCATCCAAAATCAACAACATTCAAATTGCATCGGCTGTGAAACGGATCATCCAAGTCAAAAATATCACAGTTGCCTGGGAATTGGAATTTCGTCAAGTGGTCGTAGTCATCCAGTCGATGATTATTTGTATTTGGCCTTGGAGGAAAAACCTAAAGACGAAGACATTGACGCCGTATTAGGAAGTTTGATAGAAGACCCGAAAGGTCACGTGCAGTTGTGGGAAAACGAAGACGATTGGACGATTGACGTAGAAAAAGAATTAAGAAAATTTTGGAAAGAAGTTCCTGGTTTACGTATGATATTACCAACATGGAGAAAAGAGACAGAGAATTGTTAAAAGATATATTGTCAGATCAAACAGGAATGATTTGGAATGAAATGAAGAAAAAATATCCTTTCCTAGCTCCTATGGTGTGTTACGATAAAGATAGTGTTGTTTACCATTGCATTGAATATCTTGTGCAACGTTACAATCCTCAAACCATGCAAGAAGTCTTAGATGATCTTTTACAACCAATGAAAATTTAGAAAACTTCAACCAATCAGAATACAGCAAATTTGGAAAACAGCAACACAGCAAACAGTGCGCATGTCTAAAAACTTCAACCAATCACAATCCAGTAAACCACGTGATTCAGCTTTCACCAAACCACGTGACCTGGGAGAGGGTATATGTTTCGGATCAGCGTTGGAAATTATCATTTTCACTTGGACATCCGATCGTGTACAACCTATGTATAAGAAAAGGAGCTATGGAGAATGTTATCACTGTGGAGAAAAAGGACATTGGGTCCCAGAGTGTCCCTTGCGAAATGGAGAAAAAACTAACCAAGAAGAAAACAAAGACACCAGTAAAGACATCAGTCAAGACACCAGTCAAGACATCTGTTACAACTGTCAACAGCGAGGACATTGGGCCAGTAACTGTCAAGAACCAAAACGCAAACAACCCAGAAAAGGAAAATGTTATCAATGTAAACAAGAAGGACACTGGAAATCCGAATGTCCTCAAAAGAAAATCATCGACAACCAAGGAGAAAACTCAGAAGAAACTCAAGTTAACAAAGGTTCCACCTCTGAAGATAACCTCCACAGACATGCCGCTGAAGATAACCTCAACAATCATTCCACTGAAGACAACCACAACAAACGTCCCTCAGAAGGAAACCACCGATGCCTCAACTGCCACCAACTCGGACATGGATTGTTTCATTGTGGACAGCCCATTGAAACCAGAGTCACCTTCGACGATCTCACAAACACTTTGTTCAACAAACGAGGCTCCTTGTATAACGCCAGAATACAAAGATATTGGTACTGGTGTGGAGAAGCTGCCGAATATTTCCGAAGATACCAAAGTTCCAAGTATTGAACCCACCGACGAAGCTATCATTGTACCATTGGGTCCACGTGGATTTAGAAACCTGTACCTATTACCAAGGGAGCCATTTAATAATGATGCCTGGACTATAGTGGTTATGTTACTTGGTGAATTGCAAGATTGGATGCAGGATGATGCCTTACAAATGATGTGTGGAAACATGTATTGGATTCCAAAAAGTCTACGTTATTGCGAATGGACACACGACCAAATTATGAAGATGGAAGAAAAAGCTGAATAGATTGCTGTGTTTGCTGTTTGAAAAACTTTGTTCCTGTTTGAAAAACTTTGTTCTTTTTTTTTAAATGTAAATACGTTTGTTATGTTTTTTAAAATGTAAATACGTTTGTTTAAAATGTTGTAAAAATTTAAAATGTGATATAAAATTTATTGAAACAAACATTGGTTTTTCCTTCCTCTAGCAATTTGATTATCCAAGCCCTATAAAAAGGAGAGGCTTTTGCAGCAGAATCATCATGGAATTCGACACGGCACTCAGACACCCGTTCACAATGTTAGTTTCCGGTCCACAGGTGTTGGGAAAACGGTCTTTGTTCAAAAATTGTTGGAGGCCAACATGTTTGACCCAGTACCCGAACGAATCGTGTGGGCCTATGGCGAATGGCAACAGTCTTACGAAACGTTTTCTTACACTTACGTCCATGGCTTAGGAAATATCGATGATGTCATGGCTCAAGTGTCAGGGCCTCAAATTTTGGTAGTCGATGATTTGATGGGCGAAGATACGGCTGCCCTTGAACAATGGTTTACGAAAAAAAGTCACCACCGAAACACAAGTGTTATTTACATTGTGCTAAACTTGTTTGATAAAAAACAACGCACAATAAGTCTCAATGCCCATTATTTGGTCTTGTTTAAAAACCCTAGAGATGCTTCTCAGTTGGGTGTGTTAGCCCGACAAATGTATCCTGGACATGCTCAATTCATGCAAGAAGCTTACACTGATGCCACTTTACCACCCAGAAGTTATTTGCTCGTGGATTTGAAACCCGACACGCCCGAAGAGATGAGATTGCGAACAAGAATTTTACCCTCTGAAGCCCCAGGCTTCGTCTATCTCCGAAAAGTATAAAAAGGGACAATCACTTCAAGAATGACCATTTAACCATGGCACGCACCAAGAACACAAGAAGACTTCACCAACCACCCCCAGGGACAACTCGGTTGCCCAGAGCCCAGTTTGTACCT